AAATACATAAACGATGCAAAAACACAAAAAACACCTGAAAAGGTAAAATATGCAAGTAGTGAAAACGAGAAATTACAAATTAGTTTTGCAAAATATAAATGCAACAGACCACTAGAAGGAGACAATCAACACCTCATCTGATACCAGACCCTGGTAAAGACATAAACCAGGCCTTTGAAGAAATTAAATTTGTATAAAAAAATTCTCAAAGGAAAATTAACATTTTCTTTATTTCCTCCAGATGTCGTCTGGGCGTGCATATTGTTTGTTTGTTTTCTAAAATTCTGGTCCATGGATATGAAATCCCTTGGAAATTGATGATTGTCTCCATCTTGTGTTCTGGAGCACTACTAAGGTAGTTTTCAGATGTTCTGAAAAAGCAGTTATATTTGCTACTGACAGCTATTTTCTTTTGTATGTTTTTTTTTTATTTACTTATCTAATTTTATGTTTATTTAGCCTAATTTTTGTGTTTGCTGCATATTTATTGTATGTTTGTATGGTTAAGCAAAAGATTTGTATCTACTAACTGAGAGGCCTTGAATTATTTCAAAGTCAGCCATTCAACTGCTTGAAAACAGTCAAGTCCTACAACTTACCTACTATGGCTTTTTCTTATGGAGGCTGTTGATATGAAAATCTATGTGTGATTATATATTTGGATCAATCGCAACAGGAGACTGTAAAAAAAAAGTAGAAAAATGAAATAGTTTCTTAAGAATGAAAAATTATTTTCAATAATGAAAATATGAAAAGCTAAATGCTACATGTTGCGTAAGTCAGTCAAGAAAGCCAAGGTATCTTTAAGATTAGTAAGAGACTTTTCAGTACTTTTACTTTTAAAGTTTTGCAAACTTAAAAGCAAATTATTAAGTCGAAGTGCTAAACTTACTCAACTTGAAGTTTGCAGCATTTCAATTTGGAGTTTTGACAACCATTTCATTTTTATAAAATGTCTAGCCTTATTTTCTACGCTAAAAGGCAACATAATTTTTTTTTTTTTTTTTTTCCAGTCTGAGAGTTAAAAAAAAAAAAGACATTTAGAATAACACTCCCTGGATAAATGAGTCAAAAACATAATTATTTCTACCCCAGAGCAAAAAACAATACAGGAAGCATTTCAGTAAAACCACTACAGGTGAAGCACAGGTCTGGAAGTACCATGGTTTGGAGATTCTTTGCTACAGCAGATCTGACCACCTGAGAGTCCTTCAAAGAGAAGGATCTTCATCATATTTCAGAAGTTGCTTGAGCAAAAGAGGAAGCCATCAATGAAAAAGGTTCAAGTGGAACTCCTCCCACTGCAACATGACAAGAAGCAGGTAAATCCACCAAATGATGGCTGAGACTGAAGAGAAGGAAAATCTTAGGCCGACTGGAGGAACTTTCTTCAAGATGGGCAACAACAAGAATCTTTGTTTAGGGAATTCCATCGAAGGTAAGTGACACTGCTATTAGACATCTAATTCTGAACATTTTTTAATAAATTAACTGAATATTTGATGATACCTTACTTTCTCTCTGTTTTTATAGATTAAAGATCAGCTGATACAGGTTTTTGAAGACCATACCTTTTATCTTGACAGTAGCCGACATTCTTTCTCTGCATCAATTTATATGATATATATGATACATTGATAAATTTTTCTTAGGTTTCAATTTAATCAAAAATAAATATTTATTAGCAAAGATTAAAAATCAAAAGGAAATGGAGGGAGCAAAAAAACAATAAATTTTTTTTTTTTAAATATTAGCCACAAACATTGGCAGCAGGGTTTGGAAACAAAGTGGGCTCCTTTCAAACATCTATATTAAAAGGATTTTTAAAGAATTGGTTATTACTAAATTGTCTTGATATGATTTTGTTTTCATTAACAATGAGCGTAAAAACATAAAGTTTT